CCATCAGTTCATGAAAGCCATAATGTAGCTGTCAGCGATTATCATAAGAGATGTTCTCTTTTAATAATGATGAAAGCAGGCGGAAAGAAAAAAAAAACTCTGCCTTATTAGGGTGTCCAATTCTGTGTCCATATTAAAGCTAATAAAACAGCTCCTTCATTGTAATCTGTAGGAGGAACAGCAGCCAATAGAACATCAATTACCCTGCGGCGGATTCAACATCTAAGGGTATTTAAGAAAAACAGATGAGGATCGGATCACACTGCGAGCCAGATCTAATGCCGGCTCAATACAGAGGGAAAATAACACACTCTTATCTACCTTCTTGAGATGTAAATTGATTTATTAACAAGGCATCTCTTTGAAGCAAGGGAAATGGATTGATGCTAAGCAGACGTGTTTGATTTTCACTTTCATAAAGCGTGTAGATTTTCACGAGATGTAGAGCTGTATTGTAAAAACACTCTTCCTTCACACTTCTGAATGTTGCCACATTGTTTAAGACGTGAGAAAAATATTATCTTTACAAAGGTACAGCGTGTCTGGCAGCAGAGTTCTTCAGATAATCACACAGCTTATTGGAAGTTTGTATTGAAGAACAGGCTTCCTGGGATTGTCTGAGAGATTCGGATTGCCTTAAACCACAATAATGCATATCATTAGCCGACTTTCCATCCATGTATTTAATGCTGATTTTGGGTTATTTAAAATATTTACTGGATAGAAATATCAATATAATGAAATCATTATACAAAAAAAAAAAAAAAAAAAAAAAAATATATATATATATATACACATACACACACACATACATACATACATACATATATACATACATATATATACATACACATATATATATATATATATATATATATATATATACATACATATATACATACATACATATATATATATATATATATATATATATATATATATATATATATATATATATATATATATATATATATATATATATATATATATATGTATGTATATATATATATATATATATAAATAAAATAAATAACCTTTCATAAATGCAAAATGTATCTTAATGTATACACTTGCTCATATAGGAGTCCCTGTATAACGCAGATTGTCATGTAATTTGACAAATCTCAGATGAATAAATCAAATGTGCATACAATACATTAAGCCTGTGAATAAGTGGTGCATTTCCATTTATTACACACACACAACCTGTCTGCGTCATGAGCTTGTTGCTCTAAGGGTCAATTTACTAACATTTTACAGTTTTATGTGAGATGAACTATCATCAAATAATGCTCACATACAATTCAGGAGCCTTCACAACAACAAAAATTTGGGTTTAAAAAAAAGAAAGTGACAGAAATATATAACAAATTTGTATGAATGATTAAAAAACGTTTAACATGATTACATATTCTTATAAGTTAATAGTTTTGTTAAACTCTTAATAAAGTGTCACTTCAATGAATCCTTTTTTGATTTTAAATAACTGGCCATGTTTTTAATAACAAAAAAAATTTTTTATTAAAATTTATTTTAATTAAAAACTTAAAAATAAAAACTTAAACATACAGAAAAATTGGATAAAAAAATAAAAAAATATGCATACATAAGTATGTATGTCTATAAATGTATAAAATTAAAAAATAAACTATACATGTGAGCAATATCACACGAGTAGCAGTGCGATATGGCACTGTTGGGAGGCGTGCCTTAGTGCCCCAACCAGTGTCGATTTACAGCCATATCACACTGCTACGAGTGTGATATTGCGTTTATACAACAGTTTGACGGCATAATTGTGTATATAAAAACAAAATCAAACATAGAGGGTCTCAAAAAACCTTTTGTATGAGGAACTACTTTCTTCCGCGTTGGATTCAAATCATAAGCTGACAGTTAAACAGCTGAGCAAGCATCTTTTAAACTTTAGATCTGTAGTGTCTGCTTTTTGCTGGCTGTATGTGGGCAGAGTAATACACAAAGGGTAAAGAGGCTGTACAGGTGCTGATTTTACTTAAATACATCACGGCTATCAGCCAATCAGATTCGAGAACCAGACAGAACTGTTGTGTGTATATTAGGGATGTAACGTATCAGAATTTCACGGTACGGTAATACGGTAATGTCTGCATCAATCTGAACAGTGTGCTGTGTCTCTGCAGTCCCCATGACTGTTATTAGTCGTATTCCCCAACTTGCAGGCACGTGCACACATAGGGCTCAACCTGTGCCCTTTTTAGTCTTGGATAGAAAATGCCCTTCCAAAATGATCAAAAGTGCCCCTGCGACGCGACACACCCTCCGTCCCGCCCTTCAGTAGGCGCGTGACAACACCACTCTTGAGTATTCCCGCTCAACCCCCCCTCCCTGCTTTACAGTACGCACGCGACAACACAGCTGATCAGAACGTGCGCGACAACACCGCTATTCAGTACGCGGGCGGCGACGACACCCGCTTTAGGTTTCGATCATTTCCAGCTCTTTTTCATCCCCGCTACTAGAAGCACACTCCATTTCCGCATTACTGGATCTGTAGCGACAACAGACCGCAAAGGATGATAGCCACGCCTGGGCTGATGGGAATTGTAGTTTCTGCTACCTCCCGTTCGCTTCATTCGCCTGAGCAAATTTTCTCAGAAGACCTATAGTTTTACCGAGTCATGCGACTACGGTAATATCGAAAAAAATTGCTATTGCGGTATGACAGTATTTACAATACCGTTACATCCCTAGTATATATATATATATATATATATATATATATATATATATATATATATATATATATGTATATATATATATATAATATCATAACTCTGTAACTGGAGGGCCAGTGTCCTGGAGAGTTTAGTTCTAACCCTAATCATACACACCTGAACCAGCTAAATCAAGCTTCTACTAGATAAACTAGAAATGTCCTGGCATGCAGGTGTGTTGAAGCAAGTTGGAGCTAAACTCAGCAGGACAGCGGCCCTCCAGGACCAAGTTTGAACACGCCTGAATTACGGTATATGAATATAACAAAACTAAATGCATGTCATAGGGCCCTAATTATATATATATATGTATATATATACATTTTCGTCACATGACAACTGCATAAAAATTACAGAAATGTTCTATTTTATAACCTATAAAATGTAAAAAAATAATATAAAAAAGGGGGCTAATAATTCTGACTTCAACTGTAAATAAAAACATTTATTATAAATAACATTTGATTTGTAAATATTTTACACACAACACATTGGATGACCACAAGACTTAAGAATAATTGAATTAATAACTGCTGCTTGCTGCTGACTGCAAGCAAACAAAATGCTTTAAGACCTTTCATTTTTAAAAAAAAATTACTTCAGTGGCTACAATTCTCTTTTCTATTTCAAACCCAATAAGTGACAATTTACATAATCTGAACACACGCTGTACCGCAATTTGCTTTTGTAATTTTTTTTTTGTTACAGAATTTTTTTGCACAAAAAATGGAAACAACATTTTGTGGCTTTATTACTTCATTATCCAATAAAATAAAAACCTCCGTTTTCACTTTAGCTATGAGTTGGTGTACGATGATTACTGCTGATAAATGATGGGGGAGCACATCTGTGATGTCGCAAACCGCATAAACAGAGAATCAGTCTGCAGATAAGCAGATGTGGAAACTCAGCTGATGTGCGGAGGCGTTTATGAATAAGATCGAAAAGCGCCACAGTCAAAAAAAATAGCAAACGAAGACCCGCTTCTTGGCACGTTTGGGGCCTGAAAACTAGAGCGCTCTCTCGATTTCTCTCCATCCTGTCACTAAATGCTTACATTTCAGCTGCCATACTCGGTGGAGATGTTTATTTCTGAAGCCAAATCAGGGTAAAGACTCGTATGTCAAAGATTCCCTTTGCTCTGAGCCCTAAATCAACATGACGTGTGTGAAATCAGTGAAGAGGTACTCGCAGTGTGTGACAGTGCTTGCCATTTATATATTTACTCTGTGCGATGCAAGCACTCGCCCCCTCCTCTATCTCTATGGCTCACGAACTGCTCCTCCTCTTCTCTCTCTCTCTCTCTCTCTCTCTCTCTCTAACTTACTCTCTGCTGCCAGAATCTGCTTTGCATTCCAGTCACGTCGATCGCACCTTGAGTGATCCTGGAAGACAATTATTCATACTGAGACAAAACACATTCAGGCGGATAGCACTGCATTTGAAAAAAGATAAGCCACTTCAATTATTTAAGCATGCTGTTCCTAAACTCACATTTACTTTGCTTATGAATTCACATTTAACCCCCCCCCCTCTCTCTACACTTGTGAATATGAGACGAGGAACACTACTATTACATTAGCATTTCCCTGCTATTCAAAGAGAGATAACTCGTATTGTTTTGACGCGTTATGTGCAAACAAGGCCAATCAGTGTTTCCACATTCTGAGACTAAAAGGGGAAGGTGATCCAGTATTTATGAGGGGATGCGGCGCTTGGTATAATTGAGCGTAATACGGCAGCAGATCCTCACTCAAGACTAATGAAGCTAACAAGGTGTGTTCTACAACAAAGGCACCTGCCCAGTACAGCCACAGAATTGAAAGCAGCCCCTGAGGATTTCTTTCTGTCCTCCCAAGAGCATTTTCAAAATTCAATAAATAACATCTGTAGGCGATGTTGGGTGCAGACCTGGGAGGAATGCGTCATAACAGGAAAGGAGGGGGACAAGAGAGAGAGAGAGTGAGAGAGGAGAATGTGTGAGAGTAGGGGAGAAAATGTGTTTGTGTGTGTGTGTGCAAGTGTGTGTGTGTGAGAAAGAGAGAGAGCGAGCGAGCGAGTGTGTGAGCCGGAGTGCTGGCTGAACAAAGAAACCATGACGACTGCCAGGTTGCCATGGCGACCACTGCAAGGGGGCCAAGAGAGTATAATAGCACATCAATCACTGTCCGAAAAAGAACTTCATTATCAGCTGAAAAATAATCCTTTAGGATCTGTTTAGTGTGTGATCCTCCATCCACTCACCTCGAAGCCTTGCTCCCGTGCAAACGCAGCGGCCTCCTGCAAAACAAAGCACACATGCCGCCTTAATTAGCGAGAGCTTAGTGTAGCAATCATATTATTTCATTTAGAACACATTTCAAAGCGAGGTGTTAGACTATGCAGTGAAGGATATACATTATGTAACCTTCTGTTTTTCATCCAAAACCTATGAAAGAAAACGTGTTTTTCTTGAAAAATGTTCTTTAATGAAATTAAGTAAATTAATACATTTAATTAAACATGTAACTGGCTAGATATATATATATATATATATATATATATATATATATATATATATATATACATACACACACACACACAAACTGTACACATATTAAGGTCTGCATCATCATGTGACCAGTGTATTTTTAGCTGCTTTTATGAGCTGGGTGTAAAACTGAAAGTTTTTATACTTTCTATTGCAATTATATTAATATATATCATAACTATTATAATTCATGTAATGCTTGTGTAAGCCTGCCAGTCCTACTGCACCCATCCTGTTTTGAGCTGGGATCGAACCGGCAATTCTTTGTATGAGAGTCGCTTGCTCTACCATGGAGGTCCTTTGCCTCTAGCATCTGTTGCTAGAACACCTTTAGATGTCAGAGGAGTGAGGTTTTACCTGCACAGCACTTTACTAGCTGGCCTCTGCCACATTCACCCTTCTAAACCTCACTCCCATTTGGGTCACGGCACCAATATAACATTGCCGGTCCTACACCATGCAACCTTCTCTGAGCTAGGATTGAACTGGTAACCTTCCGCATGGGAGTCGCTTGCTCTAACAAGGAGGCTACAGACCATAGCGTCTGTCACTAGAACACCTTTAGAGGTCAGAGAAGTGAGGTTTTACCTGCACAGCACTTTACTAGCTGACCTCTGCCATAACTCACCCCCCTAAACCCCACTCCCATCCGGGTCATGGCACCAATATAACCCCACCGGTCCTACAACCCCAACCTCATTAGAGCTGCATTCCGCATAGGAGTCGGTTGCTCTAACAAGAAGGCCCATTGCCTATAGCATCTGTTGCTAGAACACCTTTAGAGGCCCGAGGAGTGAGGTTTTACCGCCACAGCTCTTCACTAGCTGGCCTCTGCCACACTTGGGTAGTATAACCAGGTAGGTGGCATTGAGCAAAGTATAACCAGGTATGTGGCAATACTCAAATATCCAATATACTCAAAGCTCTTTATTTAAGCCCCAAGTATAAATCCCTATATGCATATATATATGGTGGTCACAGTTCAGGGTTAATAACATCATAATATTTTGTCATCAAAAAATCATGCATGCATATGAAACAATACTATTACAGAATGGCATGAGTGCCTATAAAAATGTAAAAGATAAAAAAGGTATACCGAAAGTTAAAAGTTGTACACTGTATTCTTTAGGCTAAAGGAAATTGTATGACTAAATCATAGAGGTGAGAAAACAGCAGTTAGGAAAGCATCTGATTATAAAAATGTAGATGTTCACAATAAAGGTCATTACAAATAATCATTTGGATTGCCTCACAAGACTGCACAATGAACACTAATCTTCAACAATGAGAAGGAGAAAAAAGAGAAGGCAGTAAATTTGGCGCTACGGTTATTATAATATTACACTGAATGACTATTAACTGTGAAAAGTGTGTCAGTCAATGCATTGATAAAATCTTTTTTTTTACCTAAATGCAATGTAACAAAGTTATGGTCATATTTACAAACAAGCTATAACAACTATGAACATGGTTAGTACACATTTCTCCTACTAAAATTCAATGACTTTTCCAAGACTTTCAGCTATATATTCATGACAAAGTTTCATGTAATGTCTATGAATACATATTAAATAAAAAGAAAAATGCATGTTCAAATACGTAACAGCATATAGTAAATACATGACAATCTCTGTAATTTAATACAAAAAAATAATTTATTTAGATAATGCATACACAACACATCCCTAAAGTTATGTGAAAGCATAAAATACAAAAAACTCCACCGCCTTAAGCATCATTTATATACAAAATAATAGAGTAATAGAAAGTACTAAAAACAAATGACAGAACTAAAGCCCTTGTAGAATTAATTTAATTAATATTGAAAAAAATTCAAGTATGCATATTTGTTAAACACATTTCCATTACTTTTTCAAAACATTGTGCGTTTATTTGTTTTTCCAAAATGTCATGTCAAAACTGCAACAAATTTGAGGTTTTTCATGTCCCTACAATCCCTGTAAACTTGATTTAAATAAGCCCACAAAAAAAGCAAATCATTATATTTCATGCTACATAAGAAATGACCTCACACTTGCGTAGTAGAAGCGGATTGGTGGCTCAGTATAAATAATTAACTAAAAATGTAACTATACATGCCACTATAAATGATGTTACTGATGCTGACGCCACTACAAATGCTACTTCAATAAAATATCACAACTTGCCCTGAAACTCAACCCCAAGACATATCCTCAAACTTGTTCAGATGAATAAAACAGCTTTATTTCAGATAATAAAAGAGCTCTGTGAGGGTTAAAAGACTCCAATTATGTGAGCCGAGCTTCGCCCTTTGCTCGCCTGAACGGCTCTGGGGACCAGTTGTGACAACTTCTGCCTTTAGAGAGGGAAGAGGGGATGAAAGGATCACTGCTTCATGGATGTAAAGGGGGCCAAGACCACCTGCAGTCAGTCTGTCTGTCACAAGCACTGCATAATAGACCCGAGACATGTACATTCATCTATAATAGACATCTGACATCACTCAGAGCGCTCCAACCTGGCATTTAACTGTTTGTATTTGGTTCCAGTCAGAAGATTTTCCCTTTTACGGGTCACAAAGCTACAGCTACACCCATGTTTGTGTTCACTGCACGGAGGTCAAATACACCAAGGTTAATCTTTGCGCCATAAAGTTGGGGGAAAACTACAATCCCCATGGAGATAGCCCAACCACTAGGTTTCATGACACCAATTACAGCTCAATGATCTGATAATGCAGCCATCCAGAAGCCAAGGTGAGCCACTCTTTTATTAAGAGTGATTAAGCAGCATTATTTCAAGATTAGCTCCAGGAATTAGAGTTAATGCAACCCCACTGGAAAACCGTAATAGACTCTCTTGACTAGGCAAGAATACGGAAATGCTGGACTTATAATAAATCTACACTTTGAAAGTCGGTCAATTAGGACAACAGTCTAACCAGGATGATAACCACAGTTGTATAACTAGGTGGAAAATACAGAGACAGAAAGAAATAACAGAAAACCATCTTATTAAATTCTGCAAGGAGATTAAATATGTGGAAGCTGCGATCACATATGAATATGTGCTCCAGTGTCTTTCATTCACACATTGAAATATTCACATTTTGCATTTTACTTTTTAATGAACTAAAAAAAAAAACTAGAAAATTACAATCTAGGGCTGGGCAATAAAATCGATATTGGTATTTATTGACTGAAAACTATTGATAATAAAAAAAAGTTTAGTGACGTTCAGCATTGAGGAGATTGTGAATAAAAAAAGATGTAAGGATGTCGCCGAAGTGGCTTTTTGGTTTCTTTTCTTGTGCATCTCAGCCACTAGCACCTCATCAGAAAGATTTTTTTTAGCATAGGGGTAGTGTAGTCAGTCAACTTCACAATTTGTAATGTTCAGCATGTATTTAAATAATGATGGCAGCATTCTTTACTCGACAGCTCAGATTTGATATTTATCATTTGTTTTGTTTACAGAGTTTGAGGTTTACTGTCAGGGGCGCAAAAAGGGGGTTTTCAGTATATGCGGCGCATAGGGGCGCCACACACGGGGCCAAAACTATTGTGCCAAAATTGTTTTTGAAATTATCCTTATAAAAAGATTCAAATAAAAAATACAAAAATCTTTTTTGTTTCAAATGTTTATTTTGGATTTTATAGGAGTATAATATTGTATTTTTTTTAAATAAATTTTTTTTACCATAAGTTGCATACGTTGGCACACATGTTTGAATTCAAAATAATTTAAACCAATAACACGTAGTCACACAGCTAAGTGTAAGGTGTTCATGTAGATGTAACTGTTTAGACTTTTAATTTTTTTTATCAAAATAAACTGTCAAATCATACATACTTACAGTTGAGGTCAAAAGTTTTAAGAATAATCTGTTCTTTATTTATTATTAATTAACTAATTTGACAAAATAAAAGGGTTTACAAAAAAGGTATGTCTATGTAAAAACAGATGTCAATAGAGTTCAGATTTCAAAAAATTATATTTGGATGAAGAAATTCCCCTATGTGAATTTAATATACTTGAATTTGACGATTCATAACCCTGTTAAAACTGACACACAAACAAACAACCAGAATATTCACATTTTTTGGAACTGAAATGTTTAATAATACTTCTATCAAGATCTATTCCTTATCCCATATACATAAGTTATAAATTTATTATGTATCATATTCAAACATCAGGCCTTCTGGTAACTTTTTTTGTTATTATTTATTAAAAACTATTTTCCCTAGTAATATTTGTAAATTAAAATAAAGCGGTTGAATAAAAAAAGTCCAAATGATTGCTATGAAACATGATATAGTGATTTTTTTTGCAATATTGCCCAGCCCCATGACAATAAATAACCTATAATGTGTTAAATGTGGGAGCGTTCAATAATATTTCAATACTCAAAGAAGGAAAATAGCATTGTATTGTCAGAACAGCTGTATCAAATAAAAAAAATTCTCCGTCTCTTTTTATAAAAATATCTTTTAAGTCATCCAATATCTCCATCTGCTTTGGTTGATTAAAAAAGCAGTCCTGCCTTCAAACTTACATCTTTTTTTATCAGCAGAGGTATTGACTGGTATCAATAACCTATAAAAACTTTAAAGCCAAACTTATTCTGAGCTGAGGTTGTTGAAGCGATAGTTCATCCAATTTTGTAGTGAATTTACCCAGAAAGAAACTCAATAACGTTTGGAGCAAGTGAAGGGAAAATAAATCATGACAGTTTTCACTTTTGGGTTAAGTATCCTTTTAA